GATTTGTATAATGTAAAAATATTACTTTCTTTAAGACATCATTTTTGTAATATGTTTTTCTACTTTGTTTGACAATTATATTTTTGGTTAATTGTTAATCAAATTTTCATTTAATTTAAAAATAGTATAATCTTTCTTGATTTAGATGAAAATTAATTTAAAAAATATTATTTTGTTGATCAATTAAGATGTTACTAAATCCTATTGGAATTTTACTTGTTGATCAATTAGGGTATGGACTGATTGATTGTTATGGTGCAATTGAGTATCTCAATTTTATTTTTGTTGTGGATGTTAAGTTGTGTGAATGATATTGTGTAATTTTAAATAGATTGATTGATTTACATAAATATATATATCAAATAATTTGATATGTTCCAGGCACATTTACAAATAAGTATTGACCATAGTATCCTCTAGATTTTTCTTTAATTAATATCAAGTAAAATGCTTAGCAATATGAAAAACAATATTGAGATACCATTTTTTCCATAAGCGGATAGATTGATCAATATATAGTATACTAAATAATATTTTTTTTTCCGGAACGATAGAGGAACTATTATAAATCAAAGCGCACAAATGTGCGAAACAAAATATACAACGCTCCCAACGGGAGAATAAAATGGGAGGACAGGTCAGAAGACCGCCTAGATTCCCGCTAGCAACGCTAGAATAAAACTCGAAATTGAACTGACCAACTAAACAAACTAAAACAAATAAAACAACTAAAAAGACCCCAACAGGGTAATACCCGAGTGTCGGATCCCACCAGGATAATAAATTTGACATCCGGGCGCACAAAGGCCAAACGGCCCAAACCAAAAACACAAACCTAAACACAAGAAACGAAAACAGATAGAATAACCAACATAAAACCTAAAACATACAAAGTCCTTCCCCCGCGATATAACCGAACCTAGCACAAGGCACCAACGAAATCCAATCACCCCATAGCTTGACACGAAAGCCGGAAAACCCCTCCCACCACTGCCTAAAGCCTAGCAAGGAAGAGTCCAAGCCTCGAACCACACCACGGATGAAGCCGACCTACAACCCAACAAGGATCGATCAACCCCACCACACAGACCCGCTTGACCCGACCAAACACCATTGGCCAGAATCCGGTCCTGTCGGGCATCCAACTCCACCGAACCAACAAAGTGGACACAGAGGCAAGAACCAACCCATCTCAATCCCAGCCAACGAGACTCGTACGAGCCGAACCACCAAGGTCGCTCCCTACCCCAACCACAAACACTCACCTTCTCAAAGCCACCCACCACTAACCTGTAGCCCAAAGGACAAGCTCCCAGCGGAAACCGGACAGTGAAGATGCCAACCGACGGCCAACCACCATAGCCACTACACGAAGAACCCGAACTTGGAGCCACGACCGTCGGGAAGGAAGCGGCGAGATCTGCCGACAGCTTGGGAAACTCCATCGGCGCAGAAGACCTAGCGAGCGAGAAATTGAGGAGGGAGGATGAAGCTGAAGGTCCTCCGCCGGCGAAAGGCCGGTTATTCGCCGGGGAAGGCGCGCGATTGACTGAAAGAGGAGCTGCGGCGACGAGGGTTTGAGGAAGAAGAAATTGGGGGCGAGAAAGAGGAGATAAAAAGTGATTTGTATACTAAATAATTAGATTTCATACTTTATCGATAAAATACAACAAATGATATTCATTTTTACCACGAAATTGATTGGCCAGCATACAAAGCGAAATTGAAACCATGTTTTTTATAGATAAAAATAAAAAAAGACCTAAAAACAGTTATTAAAAAATAATTAAATATAAATTGCCATTAACAAAATTATTTTAGAACAATTTTATATATAAAAAAAAATAATTGAACAAATCAACTGGAATTACACGATTTACGTAATTAGGTTATATTAAAATGTAAATTTTTACTGTCTAATTATTTCCTTAATTATCCATGGCTTGAGTAATTAAATGCACAAAAAGTGAATAACATTTATTAAATAATATTTCAATAAAAATTGTCATCAACACGGTATTTTTAGAACAGATTTATGCAAATTGTATAATTGATTATTTTTGCCGATACTTTCATAATCGCAGTAATTATTTGCATATTGAATAAATCAGTCGGATTTACACAATTTGCGTAATTAAGGTATATTAAAAATGCATTTCACGAAAGAATTACACAAAAAATATAAAACACTTATTAAATAATAAATTACACAATTTTATTGGAAATTTTTTAGCAAATCACATAATTGATATTGCCGCCAAGTACCAATGCCCTGGGCCTGGGCTTGGACATTAAGCTCAACCACATATATCTTTTTGCTGCAAACTTACTTGCAATGGTTGCCCAAAGTGAATCTTAGTTGAATTTGAACTCGTGTTTTGACGAACCAAGTGATACCTCTCTAGGTTCATATTTGACTCCACCAGTCGGGTGGTGGAGTAGTGGTATGTTAACACCTGACCGTTTTTTGCCCACTAACAACAACCTTAAGTGTGTTGATGTTACAAGCCATGAGTGGCAGTTGGCTGTTATGTTTTCCTCAACAGTTGAAAGTCCTACAAATATGACATATTAGAGCATAAAAAAACACACCTCCAAAATCTGATTATTATGCATACTGAAGCCTCACGCATCATATTGAAACATAAGTTCTCAGTTCTCGACTTCATTCTTGTTCGTCTGAGCTCTGAAGTTGGTGTATTACATCTTTAGAGCAGTTAGATGTTGTATCTTGGGGACAAGACGTACCAATCCTTTAGCTACACGGGTCGTATTTATCTTGCGGAAAGAGTTATACTTCATCTTTCCGCACTCGAGTTGTGTTTTACGTTTTATAGTTCCAATTGTAAGAACTGAAAACATCATTTTCATTTCATAGGTTCCGTTGTATTTCGATATCACATTTGTAAAAAAAAAAAAAAAAATGTTCGCATAGACATGAATTGATATAAGTTGATTCTCAACTTTAGCTTCAAAATACAATGAGCTCTTATATTCTCTTGTATGATTATATGATAATTTTTGCAGTAGTACGTGGAAAACCAAACATTTCTTTTTTTTTTTTGGTACATAGACGGGCCAAAGGCCCAAGGTTAAGATTCAAGTATGTGGCGTGGGTAAGCTACCCCGCTTATGTCGTGGTCGAGCCATGGTTCCAACTCTTGGGGGGGTGACGAGATCCGTTTCAATCCTATTTCGGAGTTAGCCGCCAATGACGCCATGTGGTCAGCCGCAAAGTTGGCTTCCCTATGCACGTGCTTAAGTTTAATGTTCCATTCTTTTTGAAAAAAGCTCCTGATTGCTCGGACTAGAGATTCGTGGCCCCCAAAGTTGCCTTGGGGCCCTAAGATCAAATCCACCACGCTTTGGTTATCGATCTCGACTTCAACCTGTTGATGGCCCAGCTCCCAAGCCAGCTGCAACCCTTGATAAAGGCCCCATAATTTTCTGCCCCCTTGATAAAACCAAACATTTCTTACTTGTCATTTATTATTGATTTATTATGCTACTCTTTTAGATCACCACCAATTTGTATTTTTATGGACATTTTTCTACAAATAGATATACTTTGATTTTTATATATGGTCAATTATTGAATACATAGACGTCATAGTAAGGGATAGACTTACTTGGTATGTCTTTTGCATAACATATGAAGATCATTTCACGACATTGTGGAAAGATATGAGTACAAAATTTATTAATTTCGTGAAATATACAAAATTTCCTATTGTCTATCTACCAAACAAAATAAAAATGTAAAGGAGTGACGAACTGAACTTTATATTATGTAAATAAAATCTACAACAAACTTATGCAGATTTTTAGGAAACTATAATTATTTGATGCCAGGAATATAAAATGACATCATTAATATATGAAACATTAAAAGTCGCGAATAATTAAATTAAAAAAACCAACACTTCTAGATTCAAAACTTTCGAAGAGTTGATCTAGTACATATTCCACGTGCAACAAATATTTCTTTCTTTCTTATTCATGTGATGAGATGATCTAGCTACAATAGATATATCAATCATATGATCACTATTAATACAAAAAAAAATCATATATAACTATGCAAACATTTTGGAGACCACTATTTTCCCAAAACTAATATACCATTCAATCAATATGTCCACTATTTAGCTTAATAACATGTTACTCTAGGTCTCTATCAATATAGACCAAATAATAGAAGGCAAAAAAGGAAAGGTGAAAAAAATCTTGGGAGAGTTCAAATTTTTCTATTAAAACTGCACACTTCATTATTTTCTTTCTATCACTTTTAACAATAATAAAAGTGTTGCCCTTCTAAAAAGGCTAAACCATGATGAAGCCCCCTGTGGGCTTTGTCCTTGCTTCTTTTATGTAACTTAATTTGAATAAATGTGTACTCTTTGAGGGACCCCTCTTTGCAATAAAGGAGGGTGAAAAAAAAAAATAAAAAAAATTGCTGTAAAAGTGAACTTCAAAACAAGTTGTCATTCCAAACTGCAATAATGCCCTTCCTGCTTTTTGATGCCTTTCCTAAACTCTGGATCTTGAATTTTTTTTTACATTTTTTAATATTAATTTTGGAGCTTTTTATGTTTCTATTCACACAAAATAGTACTTTCAACATTCAAGAATCATGATTCTGGTTCAAGATTGGGCATCAAACTTATGGCTTTTCAATGAAACCCGAATAAATTCAGAAATCACGATAACCGCCCTACGGTTCATACCTTCCTTCCGTCGAATATTCTACGTTTTTTTACAAATAGGCCCAAAAATTTTGCAACGTTACAATTCCAATCAGGCTGCTCTCACTCCAAATTGTTCTACAAGAATGAGCGTAAAGAAAATAAAAATACTTACACTACAAGTAAGGTTCGGGACTTCGTTGAACGTAAAAGTCTCTAACAAGTATGCATAACAAAGACAGCGAGTTGTAAAAAATACCTATAACCGAAGACTGTGTTACTATACAGAAGAAGAAAAAGAATCGAGCATAAGACCTACTTTTCGAGGTTCTCTTGAGAAGCATCATCGTCAACCTTAATTAGAAGTGGCTGATGGAGAGTTTCCAAGTCGCTGGCTTCAGCTGGTTGTTCAGTTGAGGAGATATCACCATTCGTAACTTCGGTCTCCGCTAATGCTTTATCTAAAGCAGCTTTTGCGACTCGGGTAACATAGATCATTAACACAACTGCAAGAAAATTGATTTTATTAAGTCAGCAAAATTTAGTAGCAATGGTTGTGATCAGAGTGCATGCATACTGAAAGATATGCAGCCTCCCAAAGAAAAATATAAAATGGATAATTACAAACTTGAACCCACAAGTCCTATTTTTATGTTAAAAAAAAAAAAAAGTTAGCTTTTATATAATAACAAATTCCCCGGCAAATGGAAGCGCATTGTAAAAATATAAATATTATGTTGATTTTTCGCTTTTCGTGATTTAGTTCACCTCAATGCTTTTTAGTTGCAATTATCCCAAAAGGATGATGGAATAGGAAACTTACCGGACACTACAAAGCTCAATGCAATAAATGCCTGAAACGAACAAAAAGGCAAAAGTTCAAAACAAGATATTGGCAAGCACGATGAATTATATCAAGGAACTTTAAGCTGCATACAAAGGATAATAATTGATCGGGCATTGGATATGTTACCATAATCCAAAACGCCAATGATGTTATATGAATCGATCATGATGTCACCAAAATCATAGATTCATGCAGTAGCAGAAAAATCTTGCAAAAAATTTTGCGGGGAGTTTAATTCCGATTTTGAATTTACTATCTTTCTCGAGGCATTAACAACAAAGTTTTCATCGTACTAGTGGCTGTGACGTCACCACTTTACAATTTATAGACATTTCATGGCTTACACATAGAAATTCATACTTCATTCTTTTTTTTTTCTTTTGGGGTGTCCGAGTGGAAACTGTTGCAAAAGATGGAAAATACAGCACGTCCTAATTTATTTCTATCTTTTCTTATTTTCTTTAAGAAGTATACGTGTTTTGGACACATCAAAGAAGATAATTTGCAATAAGAGAATAAAAATAAAGAAAGACACACAAACTTGAAAAGAATAGGCAACCGAATGATCTCGTTTAACTAATATTGGGAAAAAGAGAAGCTTGCTTACCCATCTGGTTTTAGATAATCCACTCCATCCATGAGTCACATCTGAAATATCCTTTAAAGTTGTCCCAATGTATACCAGGACAAGAGTAATTGGCTGCAAAAAAGAAAATGAAACGGGCAATTGCATCATGTGCATGTATAGAAATTCTCTTTGTGTATCCACAAACCCATAGAAAAGCTCAGTAAAAAAGAAAGCAACTACAAATTGTCAAATATAAACCGTTAGTATTGAATCTTTCATGTACTTTTTCTTCAAAGCTACATCTTTCTCAAAAATTTCAAGTAAACATTAGCAAATTTGGTTATATCTTGAAAATATCACGCTTTTTTTTTTGGTAAATTAAGTAACAGAAAAACCTTGGGTGGATTATCTGTATTAGTAATATCTTATGGTGGTTTTTGTAATTTAAAGAAAAAAAAAGAAAAAAATTACTGAATTTAGTGTAATCAGACGAAACCTAGGTGTATCAGTATTTCAGTGTCCAAAGTACACACACAAATACGGCACTTACGATCATGCCCAACCAGGAAGCCAACAAGTATGAAGCTAACGGGACAGGAGTCACAGACAAGAGGTAGTTGAGCATGTTGAATGGAAGTAAAGGGACTAGCCGAAGCAGCAAAACAATCTGTTCCAGGCAAATGAGGGGAAAATTATGAATTTTGTATCAGAACTTTAAATGAGGGAGAATAAATTTGGCAAGACTTAACAAATAAGAAGCATTAAACTGCATTATATTAAAAAAAAACATAAATTCAGACCTTAAATCCTGACTTCTGAATTGCAATTGCAACTGCATTAAACTGCGGATAGTCTTCTAACTTGGAGATCACAAATGACCTCCCCAGCTGCTCGTTTTTTGGACCGAGTAAAAAAAAAAAAA